AGTTAATAAGGGATTTTTTTATTGCTTTAAACGTATTTATAGCTAAGTAAACCACCTCTCATCAGAGATAGTGTGAGTAATACTTTTTCTAATATTTATATTTGAGTATAAGTTAAAAATGTATTTATTATATATTTTTATTATTAATTTATATAAAAATGTATAAAAATAAATTTTATTTTTAATATTAATATTATATAAAATAATTTAATTAGATAATTAATAATATTGAAATTAATTTTTATTTTTTTATTTGAATTAATAATGAAAATATGTAATAATTATATTTTTAGAATATAAATTAAAAAAATTTTATGTTTTAATTAAAGTAATTAATGTATTTTTAACTTGTGCCTTTTTTTTATTAATTTATATAAAAAAATAAAAATTAACATTAATTTCAATCCAATTGTCACTTAAAGAATTTAATTGGAAAATTATTAAAATTAATAGTATTTTTTTTTTAAGCCAATAAACGGAGGCATTTCCTGTTTTGCAAACCACAGCAAATTTAAATCTAGCAACCGGAAACCTCAGACATCAAAACCAAAACTTAGACTCCAATTGCAAAATGGAGATTCTCCATGTCTAATTAAATCTAATTCAATTTGAGGTATAATGACAGGAAATTGAAGGAAACAAATATTTAGGATTTTTAGCTTTTCTGTAAGGGGAAGAAAGTAGAATTAGAAAGGGTTTGAAAGGAATAACGTGAAACAAAAGAACAAAAAACAAGACTAAATTAACGAGAAAAGGAAAGAAAATCAAAGAAAATCAAAAGATCTCAGCGATGGCGGATGCCCAAGATGACACAAAATCTTCGAATTAGAGAATCCCACAGCTGACTTCTGGGGAAATTTGAGAACTTTACCATCTGAGTGATCATCAAATTCTCTGTTTCTTGAAATTTATACTATTTGAGGAGAGTTTTAGCATTATTGAGTGAGTTTGGGAGTTGCCCTTGATTTGGTTTGAGTTCAATTGAGAGAAGAAGTGGACAACTGATTTGAATTAGTGAGCTTGGAAGAGAAAGAGAAGGAAACTGGTTAATGGATTTGAGAGTAGAGGCTTCGAGCAGGGTATGAAGAGATGGAACAAGGGAGAGTTTAGAAGAAAATATGGTTGGATTGGATGGAGTTGGATTTTGGACAATGTTGGCCATGCTCCTTGCTATCATTTGCAAAGGAGCCCCTGCCTTCTGCCACTCACTGGTTTATCAGATGCAATGGAATTACTGAGGCCTGAGGGCTCATGGAATGGCAGTACTTGCTTGAACGTACGGAACCATGATCACAGGGATGGGTTCGGATACATTTAAACATTAAGGACCAAATTGAACATTTTATGAGATTACAAGGGCTTATTTGATAACTAATATTTTTTTGCCAACATAAACAAACGGAGAAAGCTGTTTTTATATTCAAAAAAATAAAATAAAATAAGGTCGGATTTCCTTTGGTTGTGAAATTGGAACATAAGTACTGTTCAAGACATAATACGGAAGCATTTGGAAATATGAATCAATACTTCTCAAAAAAAAAAAAAGGGAGACAAAAGAAGAAATAGGAATCAACAAGAAAGAAAAGATAAAAAGTGATGTTCTTAGAAACAAGTTTCTTCTTTCTTAACAATTGGGTTCTGCATTGGAGTCGCCATAGCTCTCTTTGTCGTTCCCTTGGTTTGACTTAACCTTCCGGGCGGACTCTTTCTCCGATTTCAACTTCTTGTTCTGTAAACTGAGGTATGTGTAAAATGACATACCCGCAATGGCTACAAAGGCTCCACAAATGCTAATCCTGCCGGGGTTTGAACCAAAGATGTAATAATTTCCCAGAAGCAGAACACATGTCTTGAATTGTCCTAAAACCACATGGGATATTGCAGATGTTGCCCTGAACATGCACATTTCGTCTAATTATTAGTGCACAAAACCATAATAATGAATGTCATTTTGAATTAAAGAATATACATACCCCAGTGCCAAGGCAGCAGACCACTGAAGCAAGAAGCCAAAAACAGCAGATATTAAAATCATTGATGTATTGAGGAAGTTCCAGTTATAGGAGAAGACACCAGGGGGATCCAACAAAGGTATCATGATAACCAGGCAAACCAAAGAGATCGGAGTCGTCTTCCACATCAACCTTTACATTAAAATTAAATGGTAATATTCAAATTACTAAACTCGAACTCCATGTCCTTCAGAATTAAGATATGAACTCGACTAAACTCTTATTGGTAAATTAAATTTTAATTATTAATGAATAAATGAGATAGTTTGCATACGCCAAGGCTGTCCAGTTTTCCCGCTGCTGCAGACTGGACCAGAGGATCTTGCTTAATGCACTGGGTATTATCCATGCCAATGCTATGAATGCACCAAACATGTTGAATTGCAGATCAGTTACTGTGGCAACAGCAACACCAATTGATACCACTGAAAGGGCAACAACCTGAAAATTGAAACAAAGCCCTTCTCTTTAATCCCATGTCTCTTAGAGAGGAACAGATTTAGGATTTTAATGGGGCAAAGATTTGCATATTCTTTTTCCTTCTTTTTATAATTGGAGGTAGGGGGATTCGACTCAGGGCAATTTCCTCATTGTCATTTTACCTTTGGAAAACTGACTTTCTTTTTGTACCACATAAATTCTGCCAGGACTATTGTTGGTGTAACAGAAATCTTGGCCATTTGATAAAATCCCACACTGGAAATGAAAAATAATAATAATAATAGTTATAAAGAAGTAAGAAAATAATCCAGATTAATTAAAAAGAATACGACCTGAAGTCAAGTTACAATTGTACTTGACTTTGGCTGCTTGCTAACAAAAACGGGGCAACCCCGTTCTCCATGGATGAGTAGCTAACTACAACAATATCTTCAATTAAAAGAATAGGACTGTGTTTTTAAAATTTATCTTATCTTAATTACCTGTTGTACTTCAAGCTGACATTAGCAAGTCCAGTGCAAAGAGACATAACAAGGCCAAGGGTAAATAAGGAGGCGGAATTGAGAGGAGGGGATGGAGGAATCATAGATAGATAATTCATAATGGTTATCAGTATCAATGTTACAACGTAGTGAATGAAACTCAGAAATACAGGGAACTGGAAACCTGCATTTTTAAGCACCTGAGAAAATTCCCACCAAAACAACCACTTTAGAAATGGTTTCTTTAATTAAATATGTGAATTAGAGCTTCCTATATATATGTAATATACAAACCCATTTGTTCATGAAAATGATTCCAATTGCAACCACGAAATTGAAGGTAAGAGCCACCGTTGGGCCACAGAGACGCTGCTGGAGGCTCTTCCCGCTTTCACTTGAACAAATTTTGTTAAAAAGAGAGGCTCGCAACTCCTCCAATGCTCTTCCTGTATTTTTTTAGTACATCAGAGAGTTAGTATATTCAAAATGAGCATTATAAATAAGTTAGTGAATATCTGATTGATTGTTTACGTTGACAATGGATCACGATAATAGAGGAATGGAAGGAAAGAATGTACCTGTTTCATTAGCATCGCTACCTTTGCGTTTGAGCAATTTCCTAACATCCTTGCTTACCAAAAAATTGATGATCTCCCGGCTAGACAACATTTCTCGGTTTACTTACGTTTGTTTATTGAGACGTTATTTTGTTTTCCATGTTGTATAAAAAGAAGCATAAGATCAAAAAAAAAAGGGCGATAAGAATGAGATGGAAAAGGAAAGGAATTTGAGGACACTTTGAATCTTTTTCATGAATTTATTAGGAGGTTGACATTTCATTAATACGAAGGGCAAGTATGTGATTTTTTGGTTTTCTCGTGCAATCTTCTAATGCGTCTGTTGCAACAATATTGAAAAGCAATTCTATAATTTTCATAAATGGTAACATCAAGATGGGATTAGGGATGCATGAATTTACTTCCTTTCAAACTGTGTCTTTTTTTTTCTTTAATTTCTTCCGTTATATCATCTTATTAATTTTCATTAAAAAAAACATTACAATAATATCAGGATGATGAAAAATAATGATGAAATTTGAATGTATATGACTTCTTAGATTAGATATTTTGGATATTATGTATATGAAACATTGAGAAAAAAAATACTAATGAATTTATGGTTTTTCCCGTAATGAATGTGAATTATAGCTATTATCCTTTAAAAATATGAGCAATAATATATTGAAAAAAAAATATAGTAAATTTTTATTTGA